CCGATTCGTAGACGGCATTTCTAACCAAGTCGGCACCCCCATATGCGCAGCATTAAACCAGCCACCCTGGTTCGCAATTTGTGTACGATGCCTGTAGTGGGCAGTTCCGTACACAAGTTTTCACTACTGACTAGTATAACTTTTGGCTCCCGAAGTGTTGTGGAAGCATCTCCTCCGTTTGGAACGTTGGGTTTGAAGCCAAGTGGTTTGTTTCGTTACAACCATTTCCTTGTTACATATCACGGATAAAATGGCCACCGTACGCCTCCTCTCATTGCTGGTCCTCGCGTTTCTGTGCCAAGAAGGTGAGGCAATCTCAGGTGCATAATCATGGGTGCGTGCATCTCCGGGGAACAATGTTTTATGGAGCAGCATATTTGTGTGGCGACGTAGATATGCTGACGGCCTTAGGAAATCGACTTCCAGCTTCGTCAGGTCATCTAGTAGGGGTGCTGGCATTGAACGTGTCTTTGGGGATCGCATTCCGCTGCACAGGTGCCCTGGCTGCAAACGTAACAAGCAGCAAGCCGCCGCTGCCGTCAAACAAGCAGCCGCTTTCGCCCCCGCCGTCAAACCTGCCGTCAAACAAGCAGCCGCTTTCGCCCCCGCCGTCGACCCAGCCGTCAAACAAGCAGCCGGTTTTGCCCCCGCCGTCGACGCTGCCGTCAAACAAGCAGCCGGTTTCGCCCCCGCCGTCGACGCAGCCGGCAAACAAGCAGCCGGTTTCGCCGCCGCCGTCGACCCAGCCGTCAAACAAGCAGCCGCTTTCGCCCCCGCCGTCGACCCAGCCGTCAAGCAAGCAGCCGGTTTCGGCCCCGCCGGCGTCCAACAACCAGCCGCCAGTGCGTCCTCCGCCACCGGTACCGGCGGGCAAGCAGCCGCTTCCATCTCCCCCATCACCTCCATTAACGAATAAGGCGCCGCCGCCGGCCCCCAAGAAGTGAGCAGAACGGTAATAAGGGTTGTACCGTTGGTTGTAAGGGTTTTACCGTTTGTACGGCACTCCGGTAGCTGATTATGCTGTTGCCTGCACCGATCCTGGTGGCCTGCTGGTAGCTGCTGGACCGCGAGGCTAGCGGGGCGGCATGGGCGGTAGTAGTACTGGGGCCCATGACGATGCAGGGAGAGCTATGTGTGTATGTATGTACGTATGTATGTATGTATGTATGTATGTATGTATGTATGTATGTATGTGTCGCGTGTGTGATATGGCTAGTAAGGGTATTGCGGGGTTGTACGAAACCCCAGACATGTGTATCAATATCCCAGTGACACCAGATGCCTCTAATCGAGTACGTGCATGTGCATCTTGACTTGGTCGTGTTGTTATTTGTGGTTTTCGTGCGTGGGTGTAGATATCGACTGCTGATTGTTGAGTTTTTGGATTGTGGTTCATTTTTAGGGCTTTGGACTTTGTTTCTAATCGTAAAGTTGAATTAGGTAAAAGACGCACCGTGATGTGTGAGGCAGGTTTTGTGTGGAGCTGTTGTTGGTCCCTTTACACGTGCATGGATTGTTTTTATGGTTTTAGCGTAGCCTACGGCCGATGATGGCATCCATATGCCCCGAACGACGGCGAAGGGTCGTTGTTGACAACAACCCACCTTGGAAGTATGTACTCGGACCTCATTTGTATTAACACTGCGACCTTTGCCAGTATCAATGGATCAAGTCCTTGTAAGCTCCACCGCAGCTGGCACCAGCTTTGGTTGGATGCAGGTGGTGAGTTGCTGAACCCGGCGAATTCATTCTGAAGTCGGATGGGGGTGAATGGATTAGGGTGCCCCTCTAGCAGGGGAGAGCAGGGAACTGCCTCCAAGGGAAAGGGGGCCGCTGGTGAAGCTTAACCACCACCCTGTAACAACATACATACATACCCGGAGATTTTTTCGTGTCCTGAGGGCATCAGCCCTAGGCAATTGCCAAACATCACGTCGCCCGAAACACCTACCCGCTGCAAAACCTGTCTGTGGACATTTAGGAGTAAACCTCTCTTCAATTCGCAAACCAACGTCAACCTGAACAGCGCCCCGGAACCCCTCGGGTCCCATTACTTCTGCCACCGTTCTGCTGCTGGTACGGTAGAAAGGTGTCGGTCATTTCCCCACATCTGGGAGCCACGGGGGTCAGAAATCGGTGGGGGTTAGAGCTCAGGTATGGCTTGTTCATGTGCCGCCTCAGCTCGCCCATGAACTTGGAGCTCAGGGTACTATCACCTTACTGGATGTGGATTAGACTCCTTCCCTCGGGATGTGGATATGGATATGGCCCCCACTCTGGATAGGGACTTAGAAGTGGTCCACCCTGCTGAGATTAGAGGATGGTTGACCGGTACCCAACCCCAGGATGAGAGGATTAGGACCCCTGTCCTCGGTTACGAGGTACGGAGAACTGCTGCGGTACCCCAACGTTAAGTAGAGGAGAGACAACGCTCGGGCAATTAGTTGTTGGGATTCCACACCGGGGCACTATTACGTCCCGCTGGATCAGGGCTAGGCTTCGGTTCTCATGGCGGCAGATTGCCCGTTACGGATGTTATTGATTATCTAATACTTCTGTTAGTGGCAGTGCAGAGGTTTGTTGTTGACCAGCGGTTTTTTTTGCGGAATATAATCCGAATTCGGAATAAAAAATTGTTCGCGGTCCTGAAAATTAAGAATATATAAATAATGTTCCGACCGTACGAGTTCATTCCTCCAGCCAAAAATGGACTGTTTAGGCCAGGGCCGCTAGAATCTTACAGGAGACCTGCATCTTAACCATATCATAGTACTTAATGCCATGGCTACTGCTAGGAACCTCACGCCCGAAAGTCAACGAGGAATCACCGGATCAAACGCTGCGAAATATTCGGACCCGAAGCTCCCAAAACGTGGAAGGCCATGAAAGAAGATATTAAACTTCACTGAAGCGATTAGCGACGTTAATGAAGACGGCCTAGAGGTCGTAAGCAATGTTGACCGTTCGTTTCAGGTGAAGGTCGGCGCTCGAAGTGGACCCTTGAACAGGCCCTTAGCTCCCAGGCACGGGGATGTGCACCCAAAAGCATGCGGCAGACCTGCAGGCTGGTTATGTTCATAGATAGACATTTAAGGGTACAGTCATGAGTGATTTGCCTTAGAGCTGGGTTGAGACTTGGCACGGCTTCATAAAAAGCAGCACTGGGGTTTCATTCGGGTGAAGTTTCACGTGTACGTCCAGATATGGACCGAGCACCCTATCTTTGCACCGAGTCTTTGCCAAAGTGGTCTTCGGCCTCTGTGCTAGGAGGCTGGCTAAGACTTGTAGTGTTACTCCTCTCTGAAAGTGTCCATTTAGCTTATCAAATTGCACACAGACAGCCGCATTGCGCTGATATCACGATACGCAGTGCCTTGCCGCCCTTCGTTCCAGCAAGCGCTCGCTGTTTGCGCAAGTAAGAGCTAGCAACCAATCCTCCATATCGGCAAATGGCGCAAACACTGAACTGTTAAGCGCGATCTTTCGTGCAAGCACGGCGTGTAACGTGCCCATATATAATCTCACCAAAGCCTCACCTGACAAAGGCCAGTTTAGTAAGCTGCTGCTGTTCCTTTAAAAACACCGCCGCTGGCCGATTCGTAGACGCCACTTCTAAACCAAGTCGGCACCCCCATATGCGCAGCATTAAACCAGCCATCCTGGTTCGCAATTTGTGTACGATGCCTGTAGTGGGCAGTTCCGTACACAAGTTTTCACTACTGACTAGTATAACTTTTGGCTCCCGAAGTGTTGTGGAAGCATCTCCTCCGTCTGGAACGTTGGGTTTGAAGCCAAGTGGTTTGTTTCGTTACAACCATTTCCTTGTTACATATCACGGATAAAATGGCCACCGTACGCCTCCTCTCATTGCTGGTCCTCGCGTTTCTGTGCCAAGAAGGTGAGGCAATCTCAGGTGCAGTATCATGTGCGTGCACCTCCGGGGAACAATGTTTTATGGAGCAGCATATTTGTGTGGCGACGTAGATATGCTGACGGCCTTAGGAAATCGACTTCCAGCTTCGTCAGGTCATCTAGTAGGGGTGCTGGCATTGAACGTGTCTTTGGGGATCGCATTCCGCTGCACAGGTGCCCTGGCTGCAAACGTAACAAGCAGCAAGCCGCCGCTGCCGTCAAACAAGCAGCCGCTTTCGCCCCCGCCGTCGACGCTGCCGTCAAACAAGCAGCCGGTTTCGCCCCCGCCGTCGACGCTGCCGTCAAACAAGCAGCCGGTTTCGCCCCCGCCGTCGACGCTGCCGTCAAACGAGCATCCACTTCCGCCGCCGCCGGCGTCCAACAACCAGCCGCCAGTACGTCCTCCGCCACCGCCACCGGCGGGCAAGCAGCCGCTTCCATCTCCCCCATCGCCCCCAATAACGAATAAGGCGCCGCCGCCGGCCCCCAAGAAATGAGCAGAACGGTAAGCCAACCCCGACAGTACTTGACATTAGCACTTTGCAGTTGGTGGTTAATGATATTGCGGGTTTGAGGGGTCATACAATTGTCAGCATTTTGTAGAACAGAGTGGTCTTGCCACCACGAACTTATGCTCACTGCTGTGTTAGAGAGGGTGACTTCAAGCCGCATGATGATAGTCGGAGGTGACTCCCCATGGCTCCTGTCGCCCCTGTCATGGTCCAGACCATTACAGAGGTTCATCTCTCACAGGCTTTTCCCCCTCCCACGTCCCCCCCCCTCAACCACCAACAACAATACGTGGCTACCTGTCCTCTACACAACAGGAATGTACGGTATTCCGGGATTTTATTACTTTGGCAAATGCTCGAGGCCTCCGAAGAGTTGCAGTGTGCCGCGATGAAGCTCCGGGCTGTGGGTCGGATTGCTGAGCTGCTGGCGTTTCGCAGCACCGGACTTCACCCAGCTTGCGTCACCACTTGCCCACACGGGCATTCCGGCTTGCCACCAGCAGGCCGACAAATTTGCTTTCATTTCTCTATGAAGTACGCAAGCTGCTCGTTTGTACAATTACTTTGGCCAATGCTCGGGGCTCGGTGTGTCGGCTTCCTGCCTCCCGCGCTCTGACAAGCATACCTCTCACAGCATCAGCACTGCTGCAACAAGCACAGCTCCCACCACCCATCAATTGTCACACGTGCCACCCTTGCTACCGGCCTGTACGGATGCAGAGGGGCCCCGCCCTTTACCCGGCTTCGAGGAAGCCGACACCCGACTTGTCGTGCGTGGGTGTGCAGATGTCGATTGCCGTGTTACATTTGTTGAGTTTTTGGATGGTAGTTCATTTTTAGGGCTTTGGACTTTTGGCTAATCGTAAATGTTGGATAAGGTAAAAGACGCACCGCAATGTGTGGGGCAGGTCTTATGTGGAGCTGTTGTGGTTCGTTTGTCATGGTTTTAGTGTGGAGTACGGACGCTAATTGCATATGGATGTCCTGCACGACGGAGAAGGGTCGTTGTTGACAACAACCCACCTTGATAAAAAGCCGGTCCTCCTATTTATTAACACTGTAATCTTTACCAGTTTCAATTCCCTTCCCCCCTTCCACTGCACCGGGCACCAGCGGATGCTGGTAATGTGTATATGTAAGTGTGTGTATGTGTGCATGTGTGTATGCATGTATGTGTCTTAACACCTTCTGGAGTTGCATTTCTCTCCAAAGGTGTAACGAGGGCCTAGACATACATACATACATACATACCCGGAGATTTTTTCGTGTCCTGAGGGCATCAGCCCTAGGCAATTGCCAAACATCACGTCGCCCGAAACACCTACCCGCTGCAAAACCTGTCTGTGGACATTTAGGAGTAAACCTCTCTTCAATTCGCAACAAACCCGTGTTGAACGAAACCCGTGTCGATACAACTCCTTGTGAACCGTACATTTATACTATGTGGATTGATGGATCCGGTTGACATGATACCCTGTAGCTTGGCCCCAAATTAGCACGGAGGCCCCACACAAGACGGCTCCATATGCCCAATAATACGCTGAACGCACAATAGGGCACTCTTCTCTTGCTGGCCCGCGCCCAAATGGTGCAGGAACAATTAGCGTCCAGACCGGGGGTGTTGCCACACATACATCCCCACGGCCGTGTCGGACGCCTTGGTGAATTAGAACCAGCAACTCGTTTAAAACAGCCCCTCGGACCCCTCAGGTTCTCATGGCTTCGGTTCTCATGGCAGCCGATTGCCCGTTATACTGGATTCACATGCTACGTTACGTTGCGAAAACTTTTTTGGAAAAGTGGGCCTGAAAAAGTCACCCAGTTCACATGGGACATTACGACGACGTTGTGTTCGTTGGCGCGAGCTGATGTTCAATTCTCAATGGCAGTGCTTGAGCGTGTGGGCCGACGCGGCGCGGCCCATGCCGCCGGAAGTGCGGCCGACTTGCCATTTCGCGGATGGCTTCAGCCCTGATACTACAATCCTGGGTTACATATTGGCTATGTAAGCGGTCGTGCGCGGGCGAGCAACACGAGCGGCGTTGTCCTTGTTCATTTTCCAAAATAAACTGCAGCGATGTGACTAGACATTCGGTCGGAGTGCAAAGCGCGCACAATTTGTCAAATATGTGGTCTTTATAAGCGATTGGGCTTGGCTGTTTGTTATAACTCGCGAAATTGGCGACGCAATTCAGGTAACGGTACGAGGGGTCGAAATTCAAACCCCCCCCCGGGTCACTTTAGACTTTTCGTCCACTTTACCGGTAACGTACCGTTACCATGTCCGAACCGACCACTTTTCCCAAAAAGTCTTAACGTAACGTAGCATGTGAACTGGCTATTACGCATGTTATTGATTATCCAATACTTCTGTTAGTGGCAGTGCTGAGGTTTGTTGACCGTTCAATTCAGGTGAGTGTCGGCGCTTGAAGTGGACCCTTGAACAGGCCCTTAAGCTCCCAGGCACGGGGATGTGCACCCAAAAGCATGCGGCACACGTGCAGGCTGATTAAGTTAACAGCTAGACATTTAAGGGTACAGTCATGAGTGATTTGCCTTAGAGCTGGGTTGAGACTTGGCACGGCTTCATAAAAAGCAGCACCACGCTGTTTCAGTCTTGTCAGGGCTAGGTTGTTTTTTATGTTATCACCCTGGATTAGACATACTCAAATTAGAATTGACAGCCTTGTTTCGTTGCACGGTTTGTAGGGACAATAGAGTAACCGTCCTGGATAAGCCAATGCCCAAGACGCAATGCGTTAGTGCAAAAAATACGATTTTTGACGTCTTTCTTTGAATATATACTGGGTGGCAAATACTGGCACAAACTTAGGGCGTAAGGCCGGCCTGCTTATTGGTACGACAAATTGCGGTTGGTTGTACTGTATGGGCAACGCGAAATGTCACCCCGTTCCCAAACCCAAAAATTATCAGACTGGCAGTTTTATTTAGGTAAGTTATCACGAAAAGATGTCACCTCTGGTTTAGCTTTCCGCTTGACACGGAAGAGGGAAGGACAATAAGTAAAGATTTAATGACGCAACCCCATGAAATGGGCTTTACTCAAATCTCTAATCTACCTTAAAACTTATGAATTGGTAACGTCGAGGCTCGCCGCTAAGCGGTGACAGCCTCTTTCCGATGATATGGAGGACCTGAGTATAAGGCCAGGATTTAACCTTCATGCAGCATTTCGTGGACACCTCTCGCCTGTTCGGCGAATTACATATAATGCTCACACGAAGCAGTTCCTGTCCATGGACGAGCACACGCTCAAGGCATGGAGCGTCAACCGCGATGGAACCACGCGAGTTCAGTACGACGTTCAATTCCCTAGCTATCAGCAGAACTTCATCACCTCGATGGTGCTCAGCCGGGAGCTTAACCTGCTGTTCACCGCATGCCTGGATGACAACCTGCGCCTGTACAACGAGCGGCTGCGACTCAAGAGCTGCATGCCCTGGTCAAATGGAGTTGTGCGGGAGGTAGGCGCGTCTCAGGGACGCGGCTGGTAAGGGCTGCCCCTTCCAGCTGCCTAAGGCGGCCGTGGGGTGGACGCGGACGAAACATGGTGCTCCACAGCTTCGGCCAGCCGCCCGGCCGCACGGGCGACTTACAGAAGTCTTCCCCTCAATTCACTCGCAACCATCCATAATTTTCTGATCCTCTAATTTCTGCCCTTTCCGGTGTCTGTGGGGAAGAGGAGATTGGAAAGGGAAGACAGGGGCACAGCGCGGCAGCCACACACTACAAGGTGGTGGTTCAGCCCTTTCCTTCCTTACGTATACTTTTGTAGCTGGTCCTGGCCCTGATGATTACGAGTTGGAGGTTCGGGCCATTCGTGTTCATCACCACTGCCACCGCCGCTTCTCTCTCCTTAACCGCCTCGACTGACTGTCCTGGTTTCCCGGAGAGAGGGGAAGGGGGAGGGAGAGGCGCAAAGGAAGTGAGGGAGAGGGCGCGGAAGGGGAGAGGGGCCCGGGGGTGGCGAGGGGATCTTCTCGGGGGTGACTTTAGGGGGCCCGGACCACACACACACACACACACACACACACACACACACACACACGTATCACACGTAGTGCGGCGGATATCAATCAAAAACATACACGCATACGCACGTACACACGCAGACGCACTCTGCCCCTGCCTTCTCCTAGTGTCCATTATCGTCTGTCTATATGTGTGTGTGTGTGTGTGTGTATACACGGAACCCCTCAGGGCCGTCCCGAGGCAACAGGCGAGCCTGCTAGGACCTGGGATCGGTTAAGGTTGTTGGTTTACGTTTCGTCGGGTTTTGTGAAATAACCGCTACCCTAGGGTTGTTAACTCCCCCCCTCCCCCACCCCCCCACGTGAGTGAGACACACACTGCTCGTACACCTCTCTCGCCCCGACCGCCACGGCCCCTTGACCAGCCCCGTGCATGATAGGGAAGGGCACAGTACGGGGACAGCAGTAGATGGGTATGAATAATGCAGGGTACGATGGCCGTACAATAGTACGGCAAAATCTATGGTCCTAGGAAGTCCAACGCAATATCCGCATGAGGGCGGAATGGTGCTCGGACCCCCGTGGGTATGGGTACGTCGTACAGGGTGTTCGGGTGTGGGATCCTTCCCCCCGGGGCCCGACAGGGTCGGGACATGTCCCCCCCCCCCCAAGGGGGTCGTGGGGGGTTGGGGTCACATCCATTACATTACATTACATTACATCCACATTTGTTGACAAGGGGAGCGGCAGCACTTAGGGTTTGTGTTTGGTTGCCTTGGGTTGTGTAAGGGAGAGGAGGGGGGAGGGAGGGAAAGGGAGGGAGAGGAGGAGGGGGGATGGGAGAGAGAGGAGGAGGCGCAAATAAGGCCGTGCCGAAGCAGCGCTCTCTCCGCCTCCCCTCCTCCTCTCATCCCCCACCTCGTTTGCCTCATCTTCCCCCCACCCCCGGGGGGGGCTCATACAGACGGGGGGGCGGGGACCAGGTTCATCGTCCTTTGTTACTTTTCCGTTGTCCGTTGTCCGTTGCGTCTTGGTGGTTAACCGGGTGGTTGATCCCGAGGGATTTACGACGAGCTCAGTCGCTTACGTACGAGGCTATGAGCGCGTATGCGTTTGTATGGATTCTCGTACGTGTGTGAGCTCATAGAGGTCATACAAGTTTTCCTCCCCCTCCTCCACACCCTCCTTACGTTTGAAATTTGAAGAAACACACAGACACAAAGGCTCACAGACACGAACCAAGCGTAAACCTTGGAGGGTGGTGGTGCAGGGCCGGGTGAGGTGGGTTAAGGTGATGAGAGTCGAGGGGGGAGTACGGCGGGGGGGAGGGGGGTTGGGCTAGGGAATGGGGTGTCAGACGTGGCTCGAAGTGCATCACAAAGGCAATGTATGGTTTCGGGGCATTGATCGCCCCTACCCGCCTCCCCAAACCCACTGTGGAGTCGTCAGATCTCCTCAACCCAACCACATCTCTCTCTCTCCCCCCCTGCCGCCTACCTCCCCAGCCGCCTCTTTCTGAGTCTAGGCGGAGGGAGGGAAGGAAGGGGAGAGGGAGGGAAGGAAGGGGAGAGGGAGGGAAGTCCCAGAGCTCTGAACGGCCCAACGAAACCCCCCTCTCCCCCCTCTCGCCCCTCAATGCCCATCCGCATTGGGAGGGAGCCGCCGCCGGTGGACCAGCGGACCAGCGAGCGGCCCCTCAGCTGCAGCGCCATCGCGCACATCAAGAAACCGCCAGCCAGTGCACCAAATTGCAACTTATTTCCCCATCATGCATCCCAAGGGTTCCTAAGGGGGGGCCCCGCCCCGATCGGTACCTTGAGGTATCCGCACCTGCATCCCCCACCCGGCCACATACCCACATACCCACATACCCACATACCCACACACCCGCACAGCACCCCGCGACTGATTTCCCCTTTCTGTCCTCCCACCCATCACCCGCCCTCGCATCCGGCGCCGTCGGTACGGCAGATCCACACGCCTCCCCCCTTCCTGCCCTCCCCCACCCCTCCTCCCCCCCGCGCCCTCCCCTCCTGCGCTCCTAGATGGCGTTCTACGAGCCGCGTAGCCTGCTGGTCACAGCAGGGTCGTACGGCGTCAAGGTACGGCACACGCCATCACGACGCTGCTTGTGAGCAGCTCTGGTGTCCGTGCGGCTTCCCCGGACAACACGTACAAGTGTTAGGGTTTACGGGAGCGATCTAACAGTGTTTATGAAATAATACGGTATCCATCGCGCACGCACACACACACATACAGACAGACATACAGACAGATAGACAGACAGACAGACAAACATATATACATCACACCCGTCCCATATGAGGTCCAGTAGTTACCGTGGGCCAGCGTCGGGCCCGTCGGTCAGATTACGTATGGCACGTATATACATACATACATACATACATACATACATACATACATACATACATACATACATACATACATACATACATAGGCAGGCGGCTGGCAGAAGTTAAGGCCTGACTTCTGCT